AATGTCGAGCGGATCGGAAATGATGAGGATGGCGGAGAAGCTGAAGAAGCTGGAAGAGGTGGTGAAGAAGATGGAAGAGGAAAAGGAGAAGATGAAAGAGGAGAAGGAGGTGGAGAAGCGTAGAAGGGTAGAGGAGGTGGAGATGGAGAAGCGTAGAAGGGTAGAGGAGGTGGAGATGGAGAAGCGTAGAAGGGTAGAGGAGGTGGAGATGGAGAAGCGTAGAAGGGTGGCGTTGGAAGAGGAGCTTGGAAGGTTGAAGAGAATACCCGAGACTACTCCTGCAGCAGTCCCAATAGGAGACGGTGACTCACGGCGGCTAGTAGATTGCAAAGCTGCGTTTTCCGAAAAGTACGTGTCGAAGCCGGGAAGTCTTTCTCCAGATGCTTTCATGGCAATCATGACCAATGCTGCAAATCAGGAAGTCAGCACGTCGGTAGGGGCTTTGACTCAGTCTAGTGGCTGGGGCAAGTCCCGGTTTTTGTGCGAGGTGAGCACCCGGTTCAGATGTCTGTACATCAGCATGGGGGACAGTGTGAGTATGTATCCTCGGCAGACTCGAAGTTATGCGCCTTTGAAAATGATACTGGAGGCGGCTGCTTCGGATCCAGATCTGGTGGTCAGCCATTTGATGAACTGCTTCTCCCAGTACTTGGACCGGGCCACCAGAGACCCTCATATCCAGGCGCTAACCAACGCGGAATGGTTTAGATACCAACTGGAGGAATGGAACCCTGGGTACGACGTGAGGATTGTGGGCGGCACTCTGACTCCCCTTTTGCGGGCGGAGGCGAAGGCGAGATTAGCGGATGCGATCACTAAGTTCAAGGAGCACTATCGGGTTAGCTGCGTCCTGGTCCTCTGCGATGAGGCAGCTGCTCTGCTCGAGCCTTTCTCTGCCAGTGGGCTACCGCGATTTCGGCTGTTCCGACGGGCATTTACTGTAATGGGCATGACTGCTTGCTTTGCCAGCACGCAGTCCAAGGTTCAAAACTTTGCCCCCGCTCTCCACAGAGATGAGTCGTACAAGGAATATACCATGACTCAATTGGAACGCCCCTGGATGCCTTCCCCATTTCTTGCGATCAATCCAGTGGATGTCAGCGTTGGTGACGTGTTGTATCCACTGTCTTTGGCTGATCTTCATAGCGCAGGCAATCTGTCACAATTCGGTCGGCCTTTGTGGTGGTTCTTCTTCAAACATATAACTTCGAGCTACTGCAGTGCTCAACATGTGTTGACGACGGTTGCTCGCGAGAAGCTCAACTTTGGCTGCGGCGAGTGGTCGGGTGTGGCTGCTATAATGATCGTTGCTGCTGTTAAGCCGACTCC